ACCTTGAAATTCTAGGATATCCGGAATTGTCACAGCCCTACCTAAAGTAGGATTATTCGTGATCAAACTATCAATAAACTCCAAAACTACATAAATAAATAATTATTCGTCCTATTAGCCAAAATAGTTAGGATTGTTCACGTGAATAATGTTACCACTAACCTTCATAAAGATTGCGTCACCGCTAGGAACTGACTGGAACATATCTCCACCCATGTGAGTTACTCCTAAAATCACACAATATCAACAACTATATCTAAGAACTAAAAATAGCATAAAGCTTTTCCAAAAATTAACAATATTCCAAACAAACAAAAAATGATGAAAATGAAATAAAATATTATTCAAACCATGAATCTTGGGGGCTTTGGCAACAACTTCAGGTAAATCAAAATTAATCCCTTCACGGACGTTAGGAAATTGCTTAAGGATCATACGAAGACAATCCCCTGCGCTACCTCCTACGTCAACTAAATGCTCGACGGATTTAAATCCATCGTAGCCGTCCAATATAGCTTTCATGAACGGTACCGATACGCCGGACATCGCCTTTTGCATCAAACCGTTCATCTCCTCGCATTTTCCATACTGCGCGTAAGCTCCCTCGCCATTCGCTTTCACGTACGGCTCAGTCTCTGGCTCCACAACCGCCGTGTGAACCAGTGGCCATGCTCGCATCAAGGCCTCCTGAAAATATCATTTTTGTTATTAATGAACTCCGACTAACCAAGTGCATGTGGTCAGTGGTTTCTTCGAGTGGAACAAGATCGGTCTAGGTCATAGAACTAGTCCCACTATCTACGAAAATTCTTGAATTCCTCTTCGTAATTATAACACCTTAAATAGCAAAAATATCCGATTTTGTATAGGTTTGAGGATTCAAAGAACGAAAATGATTAGATTCCTCTTAGTAATTAACATCTTAAATAGCAAAAATATCCGATTTATATAACTCTCGTTTGTAACTTGTAAGAATATGAAATGAGATATTGCAAATAAATTCGGATGGGAAACCTGGTGGTGCTGGAGGACGTAAGCGGCGTAGGAGAGACCGCCGGAGTCAGTGACAAGGGTTTTTCCGACGTCGGTGAGGGAGTATTTCCTCTCGACGGATCCGGCGAGATGTTCGGAGAAAACGCCGTAGCTTGTGAGCATACGAAGTATACGTTGGAGATTCTCCGAATCGCCGGCGATGGTAGTGTCAGATGAGAGGAGGCGAGGGAGGATCTCGGCGGCGGAGAGAGGAGAGTTGTCTCCGCCGTTCCAAATAGCGTCGGCGATGCCTAATCTCACGGCAGCGTTGAGTGACATTGGAACACTGATCATGTTAGCGAGCTCCATGATTGCGAGACGAGCTTTGTTTCTTCTCTCTGAGCTTTCCTCCTCCA